ACCTTAATGATAATGATTCTAATGATTCTATGAAGTTGAGATGCAACAACCTGCTGCTTAGGAGCAGACGGACAGCGGGTTTGAAAAGATGTTACAAATGCGAACAAAAGCACAGTGTCTTGGCTACAGACACGATTAAGGATATGGCACAAGTCCCCTGTCTGGAGTCATAAGAAACTTATTCAGCCAAAAGCCAAAACCACCTCCCAGTACAGCACACTTCTGAGACCGCCTCTCCTTTCTGCAAATACTAGGACATCACAGGATACTTCTGCAGCCACCTATAAACTTCTACTCTTGGATATTTAAATTATCAGTTTTACCTCCACCCTGGAAATGTGGATGAAGCAAGTTTTTTGTGTTGCACATTCTGTGACCACTGTAGATTTCTACTGTGAATACATTATGTACGATTAATTAGCCTGTTAACCGTGGGATATATGCAATCAGACACCGCTTTACTAGGGTATGCGCTTAACTTCAAACACTGAAGTTTCATTGAGTAGTATGTCTCTATCAGGACTAAGGCAAACAGAAATGGTAAAAGGCAAATACAAGTAAATACACAGTATACCTTGTAAGAAGAAACTGGGAATTTTGGATAGTCTGCTGACTGTTTTCTGTGTTAGATGTGTTGGTTGTTGTTGTAGATTGTGTCATAGTGGTGCTGACGTTGATCGTGTTGGTGCGCCTAGTTGCATTGCGTGCAGTCTCCAGTTGTTGTCGTGCTGCCTGTGCATGCTGTCTTTCCAACTGCAGTTGCATCTGCAGCTGCTGTAACTGAGAAGCAGAAGGACCAGAGGAGTTGAGCTGTCCTCCTGCAGAACGCCTCACGCCTGATAGCTGAGATAAAAGCTCTGCCAGAAAAGAGAAAGTTTCTATGATGAAAGATCTTAAGTATTAAACAATAGAATTAATACACTGTGAATTTCAGTGCATCAATTCCTTTTTTCAATGAATAAAATCACAGAACAAACAATGCTGAAGACCCCATCCTAGCATTCAATGTCTCAAAGGGTATGGAAGATTAAGATTCATTTATGCAGATTTATTCCAAATACATCAAAATCTAATGCCTTCAAAACAACAGGTGAGTCCATCTACAGGGAATGCCTGTCAAATGTTGTCCTCTGTAGCAACCCTCTGAAACTTCAAGCCAAAACAGGCTTCACCTTCCCAACACCTCAGAGGGAAACCGTGCTGCAGCAAACATCAAATTTTTGTACTGTTGCTTCAAACATTTAATAAAAAATACTTAGTTAAACATTAAAGTACTGCCTAACATCAAAGCTGAAGTAGTCAAGCATTTTTGCTGTATGAATTTTTATTTCTGCCAGAAGTACAGAGAAGGTCTAGCAATTAAATAAACTCTGTCCTTAAGTCTTCCAGTTCAGAGGGATGGAGTGCTTATAGCAAGTTGCATCCACAAGGAATTTTTTTAAATAAATACCAGCAGCAAATTACTGCTCAGTTTATTACTGCATAATCTATTCTACACCCTGTGCAGAAGGTAGTTCTTGTATCACACCTGCCTGCTGTACTTGATGCAAGGGCAGAAGACGTTGGAGACAACATTGCTCCTGTTTCCTCACCTCTACATTACAAACTTACTATAGGTCATGACAATTTTCCTTCCATTGCATTAACAAAATATAATCCTTCTAAATAAGGCTTTCTTTGAGGGAATAAAGCAAAATGCAGTTGTTTTCCCAGTCTGGAACTCAGAATGGTCAAATAAACTTTACCAGCACTGATAGTAACACAAAGATTAAATAACTTCTAATTCCATTTTAATAACTAGAGAACGCCACAGGGAGAAAAAAACAAAGTAAAAAAATGTAACAGATGGCATAAACTTCACTTATTTAAAAAAAAAAAAAATTATGTTGGTCTTTCCTATTTATTACTCCAGTAAAAGGGAAGACACATCAAACTTCCAGACAAGTTGCAGATGTGTTTATTCTCATTTTAAGTTAAATCATAAGTTAGAGCATAGCAGAACAATAGTTTGGAAACAGATGGGAGCTCGAGGCAGAGACTTGGTATAAAGACACCCAGATCAGTGTGCAACCAAACGCTAAATGCAAAAACACAGCTTCCACCAAAAAAAGAAAAGATTCAGAAGAATGCCATTTTATCCCACATTTAATGCCACTAAGCAGGAAGGCCTTGTGAGGCTGACAACAAACTTGCCTGGAACAAACTCTATGCCTTTTCGGACCCTCCTGTGACCCACCTTACTTTCTTCTCTTGATGGGATACTTCTTCCCAGCCAATTTAATGAGTTAAATTCTGGTCACAGTGGCCCAGCTGAGCACCAGAGCCAGTGGAAGGCAGGCAAGGGGACCATGATTAAGGAAGGCAGTGAAGCCACAGGTCCCTTTTCAGGGGCAAGACCTCATTAAGCTGGCTGGCTGGCTACCTCCCTCTGAAGAAGTCACAACATGATAGCAAGAAGCTCCAGTTTAAGCTTTATGCCTCCTTAGGATCTGAAACAAAGGTGGATTACGGCTTGCATGGTCAAAGACCACTGCATAAAAATATTTAGATTTCCCATTAGGGAAATTTTTATTTGTCTTCATTCTCTACTTGTTCTTCCCTGTAAAAAGAGTTATTTTCACGTCAAAACTAAACATCTGCCAAACAAGTTATTCCTGGGAATCCTAAAGACACATCTTCATTAATATTTGGTGTTGAAAATGAGACACCCTTCTCCTCCTCACAGTTTTTCTAAACTTGAACAAAATAGTTGCAAATACTTGCAACAGTACATTTATATAAGAATTTACAACTACACACAAAAAAACCCCCCAACTCTCTGATATTAGCAAACTGAACATATTTTAATTGTCCATCAAATGTCCATTTGAGTGCTCAAATTCAGCTAATTTCATCTTCATTGAGACAGATACTCTTCTCCACAAACACCTTTATTCAAATGTCAAGTTAATGAGAGGCACTAAGGTAGGTGACAGAAGCTGGTAGAAATATACACCACCTGTGCATAGATTGGCTTTGGGAATAAGCCCTACACTGTCTAGAATTAAAAACACAAGCTACAGCGAGCAGTTTCAGCTTCAGCACCTCCATGCACAGGCCCTGTGGCAACCCAGTCCAGCACACCGCCCACCTGCAAGTAGCCATCAATCACACTTGCACTATACAGCATATCTATACATGCAGCCTTGTAACAATGGAAAGCAGGGCAACTATTATAATCTTAATTTTACTTCCACTGTGTTAGGAGGACACGGGTACAATTCACAGTTACAGGTCTTACCAGCTATAGGATCCATGGCTTCTCTATTGCTTGGAGAATACGAACTCTGAGAAGACGAAAGCCCACTAGGGGAACTGGTAGTGAAGTGCACGTTTGATCTACGTGCACGGGGGCCTCCCAAACCCCGGCCTGGGTGGAACATCCTACGTACATGCCGAACACCACTGGATTCATCGTACCAAGAAGTTAAGAAAACATAACAAAGTTAAAAGAAACTTTGCTGGATAAAAAACTGTCTGGATGGCTAAGCCCAGAGAGCCCTGGTGAACAGTTAAGTCCCGGTGGCGGCTGGTCACCAGTGTTGTTCCCCAGGGATCGGTTTTGGGGCCTGTCCTGTTTAACATCATTTATCAATGACCTGGATGAGAGGGTTGAGTGGTCTCTCAGTTAAGTTTGCTGATGACACCAAACTGAGCGGGTGTGTTGACCTCCTTGAGGGTAGGGAGGCTGTGCAGAGGGATCTGGACAGGCTGGACCGACAGGGGGAGGCCAGTTGTATGAGGTTCAACGAAGCCAAGTGCCG